CTTTCATGTTTTATATGTATATAAAGTTTAACATAAACTCTTGTTTTGACAGATCTTTTGATACAAATGATATATTTCATTAGCTTAATAATATAAAAGGCACATTTTTATAATCTATAATCTGAATCTATCAGTTTGCCTGCAGTCATGAGATGTTGTTCTTCTTCCGGAGTTCATAAAGATCTCGTGACCGTGTGTGTGCAGGTCTTTCTGTCAGTCGTACGACATGAAGCAGCACTCCACCAAAGTCTTCAGAGACATCGTCAACGCTCTGGGCTCCTTCATCCAGTCGCTCTTCATCCTCCCCGGCGCAGGAAACACCTCGTCCACCAGCACGCCTGCAGGTCACACACACACACAAATTTTACAAATAAATCTAATCTAATAATATATCAACAGTAACATATAATTCGATTTAATCTAAAATAATATGACAATATAATAAAATCTATAATATAATGTATAACGTAATACAATAAATCTTACGAATATAATATATAAACAATAATATACAATCATTTTTACAAATTAAATCTAATCTAAAACACTGTTGTTACATGTACTTACTATAGTAAGAGTTAACTATGTATAATTACAAGCAACTAACATCATAACAAGAAGTACATACACAACAGCACATTTAATTAAAGTGTGACCAAATATAATATAATATAAAGATAAAATTATGCATCTGAATGATGCACATAGCAGAAAATGTGTGCAAGTCATATAGTGGTTGGTATGTTTTATACTTGAGCTTTGATAATAATTATGATAATTAAAGGGTGTTCACCCAAAAATGAAAATTAGCCCATAAATTACTCACCCCCGAGGCATCCTGGGTGTATATGACTTTCTTCTTTCAGATGAATCCAGTCGGAGTTATGTTAAAAATTGCCTTTGGTCTTTCAAGCTGTTTAATGCCACTCAGCGGGTGTTGCATGCATCAGTCCAAAAGAAGTTAAATAAAAAGCGCCCATCCATAAAAAGTGTCTCACACGGCTCCGGGGGCTGAACAAAGGCCTCCTGTAGCGAATCAATGCGTTTTTGTATGAAAAATATTCATCATATACACCTAGGATGACTTGAGGGTGAGTAATTTATGGACTAATTTTCATTTTTGGGTGAACTAACCCTTTAAGCTCAAAGAATCCCATGTGGATTGTTTTATAGGGAAATTACAAATTAAACAGTTATATAACGGTTCCAAGTCAGTAAATGTGATTTTTTTAAAAAGCATGTTTAAAGAATATGTGACCCTGAAAATAAATTTTATGAAATTGAGATTAATGCATGAATGCATGAAGCTGAATAAATAGCTTTCCATTGATGTATGGTTTGTTAGGATCGGACAATATTTGAAAATCTGGAATCTGAGGGTGCAAAAAAATCTAAATATTGAGAAAATCATCTTTAAAGTTGTTCAGATGAAGTTCTTAGCAATGCATATTACTAATCAAACATTAAGTTCTGATATATTTACAGTAGGACATTTACAAAATATATTCAAGGAACATGATCTTTACTTAATATCCTAATGATTTTTGGCTTAAAAGAGAAATGTATAATTGTGACCCATACAATGTATTGTTGGCTATTGCTACAAATATCCCCCAGCGACTTAACACTGCTTTTGTGCTGCAGGCTCACATTTATCCTGAATAGCAGGACACAGTCAGACACCAAATTAAGTGTGTTATGACGTGTGTTTGTGGTGTAGCAGTGTTTTGTCCCCGTGTTGATGCCGTATGTGTGTTTGCAGTGGCTCATGAGGTTTGGGAGGAGATGGTGAACGCCTGCTGGTGCGGTCTGTTAGCGGCTCTTTCACTGCTGCTGGACGCTAGGTATGAAGCTGTCTTTTTATATAACTATATACATAATCTTAATATATCACTATATGCTAATTCACATCCTAAGTGTTATTGTAATAGCTAAAGCTTTGTATATGTGCTACAGTTCCTCTAGTTAGCATGCATTAGTCACATTCAGTGCACTGATGATTTTTGACGTGTTTGTGTCAGTACTGATGAGACGGCTACAGAAAGCATCCTGAAAGCCGAGCTGTCCGTGGCGTCTCTGTGCGGTCGTCTGAGTTTGGTGACGCCGCGTGACGCTTTTATTACGGCTATCTGTAAAGCGTCTCTCCCTCCTCACTACGCCCTCACCGTCCTGAGCAACGCCGCCAACCTGTCCAATAAAGGTACGAGAGCAGTGCATGCTGACCTTCACATGAAATAAAGCAATAAGCCCCAAGAAGCCGTGGTTTACAGTGAAGTTATAACAGCTACGGGGCGTTGTTAGGCACGATGTGAAGCTGTTATAAATCTACTGTAAACCACGGCTGCACGGGGCTTACTGCTTTTATAAAACGGTTATTTCATATACGTAGTAAGGTTTCACAAAATAAAGCAGAGCAAATAAAGTGTAGTGATATTAATAAACACAGTATTCTTCCACCAAACAATGTAGCTCCTCAGAAACAGTTGTGGTTGCTACAAAGTGGTCGCCGAGCAACACACAGATGTAAACAAAGGTGTGTGTTACTTTGTAGCGTCATTCACAACAGCTTCGAACGCGGCTCAGCCAATCAGAGTCAAGCACCGGAACATCTTCCATGAACCGAGATCATTTCGTTTATGCATTTCAGTTGATGCATGAGCAAAACCTCACTAAACATTATTTACCTGCCATCAAATAATCACAGTAAGCTAAGAAACAAAGTCTCAGTTTTCAGATTCTCTCAAAATTCACAGAGCATGTAAAAACGGCCTTACGTGGCCGCCCTGCATCATATTTGCTGAATGCAATCCAATGCTCGTTTCTTACTAATTTTGAAGTGCTGATTACAAAAATAGTGCCTGTTTTGCTCGAGCATGTCACGCTTTCTCAAAAAATAAATGCATTTTGTAGAGGTTTTTGTTTTTTAAGTCTTGTATGATCCCTTAATCAGCGGAAAAACTGTACAAAGACATGATTCCTGAATCTGAGCCAGATTACGACTGTCTGTTCAGTTCTCGGCCCATTTTCACACGTATTTCATGCCTAATCCTGATTTCAAGGTTAGAATTATGGCCAGGGACAGAAGAAAATGCAAACATGAGCCAGGTGTTTCCTGATACATCTATCTAAACAGCCACAGAAAATGACAAATATATACAAATGGAGTATTTGAACACATTTTCCACTCTTTTGTGCAATTTTATAATTTGATTTTATATATAAAAGCTTCAAAAACTTTTGACTGGCAGTGTGTGTATATATATATATATAATTATAATTTGAAAAATTCTCTTTCTTATTGTGTGAAAACTGTACATGATGGAAATTGTTTATTAATATTTTTGAATTCAGCATCATTAAATTAGGTAATGTTTTTTGCAAATCAATAGATTTTTTTTAAGATGCAGGGTCATGCAGTGTTATTAAGTACATTTTATTTTCAGTCTGGGTTTCATCTAAAAACATTTTAATGTTTTGGTAAGAAATAGATTTTGATGCATCACTGGCCGCAAGCCTTAGGACCTTTGTGTGTGTAAGTGTATGTAGTTTAATGTGTGTGTCTCTGTGTGTGTGTGTGTGTGTGTGTCTGTGTGTGTGTGTCTCTGTGTCTGTGTGTGTGTGTGTGTCTCTCTCTCTCTCTCTCTGTGTGTGTGTGTGTCTCTCTCTCTCTCTCTCTGTGTGTGTGTGTGTCTCTCTCTCTCTCTCTCTGTGTGTGTGTGTGTCTCTCTCTCTCTCTCTCTGTGTGTGTGTGTGTCTCTCTCTCTCTCTCTCTGTGTGTGTGTGTGTCTCTCTCTCTCTCTCTCTGTGTGTGTGTGTGTCTCTCTCTCTCTCTCTCTGTGTGTGTGTGTGTCTCTCTCTCTCTCTCTCTGTGTGTGTGTGTGTCTCTCTCTCTCTCTCTCTGTGTGTGTGTGTGTCTCTCTCTCTCTCTCTCTGTGTGTGTGTGTGTCTCTCTCTCTCTCTCTCTGTGTGTGTGTGTGTCTCTCTCTCTCTCTCTCTGTGTGTGTGTGTGTCTCTCTCTCTCTCTCTCTGTGTGTGTGTGTGTCTCTCTCTCTCTCTCTCTGTGTGTGTGTGTGTCTCTCTCTCTCTCTCTCTGTGTGTGTGTGTGTCTCTCTCTCTCTCTCTCTGTGTGTGTGTGTGTCTCTCTCTCTGTGTGTGTGTGTGTGTGTCTGTGTGTGTGTGTGTGTGTGTGTCTCTCTCTCTGTCTCTGTCTCTGTGTGTGTATGTGTGTCTCTCTCTCTGTCTATGTGTGTGTGTGTGTGTGTCTGTCTGTGTCTCTGTGTGTGTGTGTGTCTCTGTGTGTGTGTGTGTGTGTCTGTAGTGTACTCTATCCAGGGTCAGAGTGTGCAGATGGTCAGTCCGTCCAGTGAATCTCACCAGCAGGTGATAGCAGTGGGTCAGCCGCTCACCGCACAGCCGCAGGGCACCGTCGTGGTAAATCACACACAAAACACTCCCTGGATTTCTGTTGCTTTTGTATAATGTTAATTATGGCCGAGCGACAGCCTTCTGGACTCACAGTGCAACACTTACTCTTGAGCTGCCTACTTCATTTCTAAATAATCTTTAAGTGCAGCTGACTGTTTTTCCAGGTTGATTACAAGGCCTTTCTCTCTCTATCTCTCTGTCCGTCAGCTCACAGCGAAGAACATTCAGTGCATGCGGACGCTGCTGAATTTGGCTCATTGTCATGGTGCTTATCTGGGGACCTCATGGCAGCTGGTTTTAGCCACACTACAGGTACAGCACCATGCTTTAATCGCCAGAGCACGCATGCGTCTGTATCTTGTTCTGGACCAGGTTTTACCAGTGATTGACCAATCACAATCCAGAAAACTTGTACGATAAAATATGTTTATTCATTGTATGGGGATGTGATTTTATTCCATATTTATATTTGTCAACGTAAGACCCACGTGAATTGTGAAATGCAAACTGCAAGACATTGAGTTTTCAAATACATTCATGCAATTCATGCATAAATAGGGAGGTTTTCCTTTTGCTGATGACATACCTGATTGAAATTGACAATCTAATACAGTCTAATCTAATATAACAATATCATATAAAAACAGTAACATACATTTTACACATTGATATATAATATATAAAAGTAATATACAATAAATTTGACAAATGAATCAAATATAATACAATCTAATATAACTATAGAATTTAATCAGTGATATAATGCATTTTACAAATATAATATTTAAACAGTAATATGCAAAACATTTAGCAAATGAATATAATATAGAAACAGTAATATACAATACTCTTTACAAATAAATATAATATATAACAGGGCTCCTGACTAACATTTGAGAGCAAATGTTAAACTTGGGTTAATTAAGCCTTTAAATTATTTCTAGTGTTATTAATCCCTGTGTATTTTGATGGTAAACATTAATTTCATGATTGCATATTTGTATATATATGAAACATTCATGATTGCATATTTGTATATATGAAACATTCATGATTGTATTTTTTTTTTCCTGATTGTATTTGGCATTCACTCATTTTTCTGTCTTTTTCTCTGTAAGCATCTGGTGTGGATTCTGGGTCTGAAACCAGCTGTTGGTGGAGTTCTGAAGCCCGGGAGGGCTGTGGAGGGTCCGAGCACGGTAAAAACCACTCATATCAGCCCTTGTTTAAAGCCTAGTGAGCTGCCTACCTAGAAAGCGTTTTGAGCATCACAGGCGCTTTCTGAGACTGCAGCGTTTGTGTGCGCCATGGGCAAGCTGCTAGACAACAGGGTTTATTTGAGGGGCCTAATCAAGGAATGTATTAAGTCACCAGCATTCTTGTCTAGTAGGAAACACTGTTTACCTGAAGATATTGCTCACTAATGCTCAAACAAAATGTTTTAGGTGACTTGAAACAAGACTGTGTTGGCCAAAAATGTTGTCTAAATATATGCAACTTTCTTGGACTCCTCATAAAAGTTTGCATTTAGGAGGCGCTTTTATCCAAAATGACTTACAAAAGAGGATCAAAAGCAATATGTGACCAAAAAAGCAGTGTTAAGTCGCTGGGGGATATTTGTAGCAATAGCCAACAATACATTGTATGGGACAAAATTATCCATTTTTCTTTTATGCCGAAAATCATTAGGATATTAAGTAAAGATAATGTTCCATGAAGATATTTAGTGAATTTCCTACCGTAAATATATCAAAACTTAATGTTTGATTAGTAATATGCATTGCTAAGAACTTCATTTGAACAACTTTAAAGATGATTTTCTCAATATTTAGATTTTTTTGCACCCTCAGATTCCAGATTTTCAAATAGTTGCATCTCAGCCAAATATTGTCCTATCCTAACAAACCATACATCAATGGAAAGCTTATTTATTCAGCTTCATGCATTCATGCATTAATCTCAATTTCATAAAATTTACCCTTATGACTGGTTTTGTGGTCCAGGGTCACATATTCATAATATATACTATACTCTGTTTATTAGACCACTAGATTAGGAAGCAAGCAAGAGAAGAGGATACTAAATATTAATGACATTATAATGGTGATTATTTCTTTTCTGTCGCAGGTTTTGACCACAGCGGTGATGACCGATCTACCCGTCATATCAAATATCCTTTCCAGACTCTTTGAAAGCTCACAGTAAGAATCCGCCAACATCAGAATAGAAATAGAAAGTTTATTTTATTTACTTAGTATCGCATTCATGAGTGTCATTGTTTAGGTTAGATATAACAGTGAACAAGTGTTCCTGTAGCTCAGTTGTAGGATTACTCTCTGTGTGTGTGTGTGTGTGTGTGTGTGTGTGTGTGTGTGTGTGTGGGTGTAGATACCTGGATGACGTGTCTCTGCATCACCTGATAAACGCTCTGTGCTCTTTATCCATGGAGGCCATGGAGATGGCTTACGGAAACAACAAGGTGCGTTCAGATGCTACGGCTAATCACAGATTCGTTTAATCCAAACGTCATCATCCAGCGGTCATCTTTCTATCACTCTTGTCTGTGCGGTTAGGAGCCGTCTCTGTTCGCAGTGGCCAAACTGTTAGAGACCGGACTGGTTAATATGGACCGGATCGAGATTCTCTGGCGGCCGCTGACGGCTCATTTACTGGAGGTGAGACCTGAGGCCAAATCCACACCAACAATGCAGTTTCTGCTTTTTTTGGTTTTGTTTGTTTGTTTGTTTATTCATTTTTCTGGACCGTTTAGTCTTCTTTGTCCATTGGTTTTCTTCTTATTTTTTAGTTTATTTATTTAAATTTGAAGTTGAAGTTGTCTTTGTCCATTTTTGTTTTTAATTAATTAATTTATTTGTTTGTTTATATAATTGATTTATTTAAATGTATTTTATTAATTAATAATTGTTATTTATTTATATACTGTTTAGTCTTGAAGTTGTCTTTGTCCATTTGTGTTTTTAATAATTAATTTATTTGTTTATATAATTTATTTATTTAAATGTATTTTATTAATTAATCATTTTTATTTATTTATATACAGTTTAGTCTTGAAGTTGTTTAATTAATTAAACACAAATGGACATAATTTATTTGTTTGTTTATATAATTTATTTATTTAAGTGTATTTTATTAATTAATAATTGTTATTTATTTATATACTGTTTACTCTTGAAGTTGTTTATGTCCATTTTTGTTTTTAATTAATTAATTAATTAATCGATTTGTTTGTTTATATAATTTATTTATTTAAATGTTTTTTATTAATTAATAATTTTTTATTTATATATTGTTTAGTCTTGGTCATTTTTATACACTTGTTTTCATTTATATAATTTATTTATATATATATACAGTATACTGTTTAGTTTTGAAGTTGGGCTTGTCCATTGCTTTTATTTATATTTTACACAGTTTAGCATAGGGGTGGGCGATATACCGGTAGAGATTTTGGACTCTATCCAGTCTCTATCGCGGTTACAAGCTCACCTGACGTTGCTGTGCTACGTGGTCATGAAAACTTGTCGTTTGCACAAGTTTTTAAGCATTGCGGTTTAAAAACAAGTGATTTTAAGCCGTTAAAGCGCAATCAGCAGCGAAAGAGAATTTCGCTATATGCGCCGAGCGCTGTTGGATAGACTGTTTCTGAGCGCTGTCAGAGAGATTTGCAGCGTTATAGGCCTTGAACGGTTAAATACACACACACACTTGTATGTGTCAAAATGCCCGTCTTTGCAAATATCCTCATAAACACCGTAATTTAGCTCTTAAGTGAAAGCGAACAGCTAAGAAAGAAAACGCACGTGTAACAGTATATTGGATCCGGGCAGCTCTTAAAGTGACAGCAGTCTAATATTCCTGCTGTCTGTCTTTCATGTTAATCAAACAACAACAAAGAGAAAATCTCTCACTGCTCTTGACTAAATCACTTTTGTAACTTTAATAAGAAAAAATATAGATTTAATTTACACAGTGTTTTTATAAATTTGATTACTTTATACAATGTTTTGTCCTATTGCTTGTAATTAGTTTCTTATTCTTTTTTTAATCGCTGACTGTTTCCTTGTCTTCAGTGAACAGTGACAAGAATAATGAAATTTCTATGGTATCAAAAATGTTGATATCATAAAAACCTTATTTAAAGCAAAAATAACTATATTGTGATGTATATCGTTACCATGAATAAAATTACTCGTATTCTAATATAAGATTTGGTCATATTGCTTCTGTGTACTGTAATATTGCTTCAGGGTCTTGAAATAGCACTAATATTGCTAAAACAAATATTACTAATGTCAGTACAACTTATCACAGTAAATAACTGTTGTAATGAGACGAGCCCTATTCTGAAATGTTCATATTTCATATTTGGCGGCCCGCTCTGATCTTTCTGGTCCTTGTCTGCTGTACTCAAACTTCTTCTGTAGTTGTATAAATGCTAAAGCACGATTCGTGTCCTCATGTTGTCTTTTTCTGTCTTTTTTCCTTCTCTGTCTCTTTCAACGTGTCTGTTTTGTAGAAGGTAAGAGCTGAACTGCCTTTTTCGCTTCAGAAATCCTTCTGACTATTCTTTTTGAATCGCTCTGTCATCCACCGTCCTTTATGAAATTGTCTCTTTTCAAGTTCTCACAGTGTGTTCAGGAATGAATCTGCCTCCTCTTGTTGTGTTAATCAGATGTTTTTGTTTTCAAGCTGATCTCGTCTGTCACACTTACGTTTCTTTCACACGACTCGCATCAGGGCTTCAACACAGCTGTGTGTTGCGCAACTTAAGAAAGTCAACAGTAATTGGAGTCAAAGATTAAATAGTTGGGTTATGCTGTTAGTTGACTATTTGCACCAGTTTAATGCATTGGGGAATGTCAATGCGAATAATGTGAAAGGACTTGACGGTGATTCAAGCTCAAGGCCACATTATTTTGAGATTATTAAATCATCTGCTTTACCACAAAAACTTCACTTTTACATCCATTAAACACACCAATCTACACAATTAAAATCCAATAAGCATGGTCTCCTCTTGTGATCTAAAAAAAATTTTGTAATCCAGTCTATGTTGTGTGTAATTGATGGTTTCATTTGCATAATCATTTATTCTTATGACCAATATATATGTGAGCCTGCAGCACAAAAGCAGTGTTGAGTCGCTGGGGGATATTTGTAGCAATAGCCAACAATACATTGTATGGGTCAAAATTATAGATTTTTCTTTTATGCCAAAAATCATTAGGATATTAAGTAAAGATCATGTTCCATGAAGATATTTTGTACATTGGCTACCGTAAATATATCAAAACGTAATTTTTGATTAGTAATATGCATTGCTAAGAACTTCATTTGAACAACTTTAAAGATTATTTTTTTTCTCAATATTTTTTTTGCACCCTCATATTCCAGATTTTCAAATAGTTGTATCTCGGCTAAATCTTGTCCTATTATAACAAACCATACATCAATTTATTATAATTTATATATATTTATTCAGCTTTCAGATGATGCATAAATCTCAATTTCGAAAAATTGACCCTTATGACTGGTTTTGTGGTCCAGGGTCACATATTGCTTTTTTTCTTGTGTTAATGTCGTTTTTTTTGTCCATCAGTGTTTGATTTCATTAATGGGTGAATCTCACAAAGTCTGTCAAAAATGTGTCCGGGTCATATTTCACTACAAAGTCGAGAATAATTAATAATCAGGATATTGTATATTGAATAAGAAGCCTATTGTGCCATTATCTTGTCAGGTCTGTCAGCATCCTAACGCTAGAATGAGGGAGTGGGGCGCAGAGGCCATCACCTCGCTGATCAAAGCTGGACTCTCTTTTAAACACGAGCCACCGCTGTCCCAGAACCAGGTAGAAATTCAATCAGATGATCTGAAATCGGTGCTCGTGCAGAGTTTGGTTATTGATTGGACAGCACCTTCAACAAATCCCCTGTCCTCCTCAGAGGCTGCAGCTGCTGCTTCTGAACCCTCTGAAGGAGCTCTCCAACGTCCTTCACACCGATATCCGACAGAAACAGCTGGAGTGTGTCCTACAGATCCTGCAGAACCAGGGAGACAGTCTCGGACCGGGATGGCCTCTGGTGCTGGGGGTCATTGGAGCGATTCGCAATGACCAGGGGTAAGAGACACTGCCTGACCTTGCAGAAAGATCATTTTAGACAAGCAAGAATTTCCTTATTGGTCCAGGTTGGGTTATGCAAATTAGTGTTGGTTTGTTGCTTGGTCAACGCGCATGGTCCTTCTTTTGAGGCTGGTTGACCAGCGAAGTCTTCATGATTTATCTAGTTAGCATCTAACAATCACATTTGAAGGGTTGATCTTGGGAGTGTCTCATTTGTACTCAACACACCTTACGTTCTGCAGTGAATCCCTCATACGAACAGCCTTCCAGTGCCTGCAGTTGGTGGTGACCGACTTCTTACCCACAATGCCTTGCATGTGCCTCCAAATTGTGGTGGATGTAGCTGGCAGCTTTGGGCTCCAGAACCAGGAGCTGAACATCAGCCTGACGTCTATCGGCTTGCTGGTGAGGAGTATTACTAGTGTTGTTTGTCAGCGTTACCTTGAAGGTTTTGAGTGTTCCTTTGGGATAGATGAGTTGACTTAGTGGATGACCAAGAGTCTTCCTTTTTCCCTGCAGTGGAACATCTCAGACTACTTCTTCCAAAGGGGAGAAGCTATTACAGAGGAGCTGGAGAGGGAGGAAGCGGTTCTCTTGAAACAGGCCCAAGATAAAGGTGAACCTCTGAACCGACCCTTCCACCCTGCGCCACCCTTTGACTGCCTGTGGTTGTGCCTGTATGCCAAGCTGGGTGAGTTGTGCGTGGACCCACGGCCGGCTGTGAGGAAAAGCGCCGGCCAGACAATGTTCTCTACCATTGCTGCTCACGGAACGCTGCTGCAACCACTGACCTGGAACATTGTGGTTTGGAAGGTACTGCATCAGACTTGACCGGGGACCAAATTATACCCAGTTCTAGCTAAAATTGTTTTGTTGGTTCAGGCTTGACCGGGGACCGAATTAAATCAAGTTCTAGTTAAAATCGTTTTGCTGGATCAGACTTGACCTGGGACCAAATTAAACCCAGTTCCAGTTAAAATTGCTTTATTGTTGCTAATAACCAAAACTCTTTGCTCCGCAGGTTCTCTTTCATCTGCTGAACTGTGTAAGGAAGTCCTCCACCACGGCCGACAAGGAAAAGATCGAATCCGGAGGTGGAAACATCCTCATCCACCACTCACGTGACACAGCAGAGAAACAGTGGGCAGAAACATGGGTTCTGACTCTTGCGGGCGTAGCTCGGATCTTCAACACCAGGAGATACCTGCTTCAGCAGCTGGGTAGGCATTGAGAAATGTGGTTCTCAAAGACATATCTCAGAATTTGGTTCTGAAAGTCGTATTCTTGCTTGCAGGTGACTTTTTCAAGGCTTGGGAAGTTCTGTTGGACCACATCCAGTCCGCTGCGCTCAGCAAGAACAATGAGGTTTCCCTCGCCGCCCTCAAGAGCTTCCAGGAGATCCTCCAGCTAGTCACGCCCATGAAAGACATGGATAAACTCGACGTTCTCGCAGCTATGGACGTTCCTCCTGTCCTTATGGAGTCTCTTCAAGGTTCTGGGCCAGGAAGACCCCTAGTCCGGTCTGATTCCCTTGCCGAGCGACTAGTCCAGCGCTACGGCGCGCAACCTTCACTTCCACCACCTGGAGAGGAGCTGGACGACTCGGCCCTCTGGTGGTCAGCGTGGAACACTTGGTACCGGATAGGAACCGAGTGCACACGACCCCCTAGTGGTGGAAAAGATAAATTAGTGTTCGTACCCAGTCAGCCTTTCCTGACGGCGCTAATACAGATTTTCCCAGCGTTGTACCAGCACATCGCAGGAGGGTTCAGCATGGAGGATCTCAAGAAGCTGGGGGTGATTCTGCATGGAGCCGTGTCGGTCCCCATAAGCTCAGACTCCTCGCCCTTCATCTTGCCCTCCTACACTGAAGCGGTGCTCACCAGCCTGCAGGAAGCGGTCCTGACCGCCCTTGATGTCCTGCAGAAGGTAGAACACCTTCGGATTTTGGTTAATGAAGTGTTATGTTTCTAAGTGGACCGTCAAGGGTTTTGCTTTTGGTTGCAGTATTTGAGGTTGTTTTCACACTTTGATGCTTGTTTGTTGATGCTGTTGTTTGGTTTGAGAATATTTGCATTGTTAATGCTTGTACCACACAAGCACTAGCCAGTTGTTGAATGAGTAGACAAGTTATCCATTCAGTCCCATTCTTAGTATTTCCACCAACCAATCAAACAAACCAAACTCTGATGTAGAGCTGGGCGATTTTTCCGATTTTATTGATTAATTCGAATTTAATGTTTTGCCACAATTTTATTTTTTGATAAATGGAGGAATCACGATAAGAAATATTACCAAACATTAGAATTAGACACTTTGACAATATGCCAATGATAACAGTAAATAGAAAACAATGATCCAACCGCATGTTGGTGCCTGTGATTAGAACGCCGTTTCATGACGAGTCAACAGTCAAACGCATCTATGTTTAAAGCAGCGCAATCGAATAAAAACCTGTAAAGAACTACTACTGTATGTCTGAAATTTCATGTTTGCATCATGGTGACAGGCTGAAAGCTGTCTACTAGTCTACTGGTGTTATAGCCTACCTTCAGTCATTTTGAATTTGAATTACCTTGACTTTTGAGAATTTTTTTTAAAGCATTTTCCTTGAATTATTTCTGAACATATAATATGTATGACAAGTTTGTACAAGATGTAGTTGTATTTCATGCATCTTTTCTGCAAAGCTATTTAACAAGTGATTTGTTTAACATTTACATCATGTGTGGTGCACTTGGAATAGAATTTTCTTCAACCTAGATGGTTCATAAAGAAAAAGTTACTTGAATCATGTTGTGGCTACATTTTCAAGTTGACTAATTAAAAATCGAGAATCGGTCAAAAGTTCTGAAAAAAAAAAAAACGAGATTTACATTTTTAGCCTTATCGCCCAGCCCTACTCTGATGACAAGTAGACGTCTACACCAAAACAACCCTGAAAATCATGGGTTTTTCTTTCTTTTTGGATGTTTGAATGAGATTGTATGTCATTGTTATAGGCAATTTGTGTGGGTTCGGAGAATCTCCAGGTGATGTATCCCGCCATCTTTGAGCAGCTCCTGCTGTTTGTGGAGTTCTCCTGTAAACCTCCTCAGTATGGGAAGATGGAGACCAAACATGTGGCCAATGCCAAATACAACCAGGTGAGTCTCTGTCCTGTTTCCACCTCACATGGTCTTCACTTTTCACCTTTTTTGCTTTTGCTTTTGTTCTGTTTGTCTTGATCATTGTATGTGTACTCACCATACATACACACACTCATCATCATCATACAACATTCATTTCTGTGTCTGTTTTCGGATGTGATGTAGTAGATGATCTTTGTTTCAGAGCAGGAGTGCTTTGATGGTTTTGAATGCACATGTTTAAAGAAGTCTATGCTCTTTTTACAGTGATGTCTTTATGGCGTTGTCTTTTCTCCTTTTCAGTTTTTATGTGGTTCTAGGACAGGGTTCCTCAAATCTTACTCTGGAGGGCCAATGCGCTGCAGAGTTTAGCTCCAACCCTGATCAAACTCAGCTACCTGTGATTTTCTAATGATCCTGAAGACATTGATTAGCTTGCTCAGGTGAGTTTGATTAGGGTTAGAGCTAAACTCTGCAGGAAAGTGGATCTCGTGGGCCAGATTTGAGGATCCCTGTTCTAGGATTACAACATTTCTCTTTGTTTTCATATATATTTGGGTACTTTCAGTTAAACATGACTTTTTCTTTGCATGGTGCTGTTTTCCTTTAGTTGCATTTTGTGCCTCTTTTAGAAATGTTTGAATACTTTGGACCATGTTTCTTTTAAAATTCAATAATTTTAGGGTTTCAAACATTTTAACGTTTTTATCACACATTTTTAAAACTGGTTTGTGGGTCAGTTTACCAGTTAAAACTATAAACCAGTAGAAATGTGAAATATTTAAATGTTAACCCATCCTTTGGCTTAGGTGTAAAGTATATTTAAACATGACTTTCAAACCAAACGCTTGTCGTCATAAGTAGTTTCAGTAGTGTGTTGTGTGGTTGTGATCAGCAGTGTAGTAAACATTTGTCTGCTCTTCTCTTGTTCTGTTTTTGTACTTCATACGGATCCGCTTTAGATCCAACTGTTTGCACCGGTGAGTTCTTCCTCCCTCCCGCTTTCTTCCTCTAGATCTGTCTTTCGTTTGCTTTCTGCCTCCTTCTTCCCTTCGGCTAATTTCAGCTCCATTTAACTGCTCTTTAAGACAAACGTCGCTCTTTCATACTGTTATTACATTTGCTTTTCTCCATTAATTTCCATCAGCCACATTTGTTCATTAATTCTAACAAAACTTCGACAAATTAATGGTGTTATTTTATGGAGTTTCTAAGAACCGTGTGGTGAAAGGTTTTGAAATTTGACACATTCATAGAGGAGAGTCTCAACTTCTTTAATGCCAATTTTCTAGCGCCACCAACAGTTATTGAATTGTATGGTCAAGAAATAAAGGCATACTACCATACTACTCTTACTATGGTTTTAGTATGTGGAATTTATACTGTGCATAGTATGCCGATTTATACATAGAATACATCAGTGACCTACTACATTTATCAAAATGTACAGTATAAAATACATGAAATACAGTATCCCACGATGCAGTGTGCTTGACTTATCCTTCCATTTCCAGTGTAATGTGTAAAAAGTAGTGTGCCGTATGAAATTTGCTTATGCATCATTACCACTTATTGAGTTTGGTGACAGCTGTTCCGAATGCATATCTCATCCAAAAAATTTAATGAAACAATAATTTAGTGTACAATATATTTTTTTAAATATCACAAATGTTTGCCTGTAACATGGTGAAGATCAGGGGCGTAGCGTGGGGGTATGCAGGGTATGCATGTGCATATTCGTGGCCACAATAAATATATATATATTTTGTCTGCATGTCATGTGCAGGGCTGGGTCATTTCTTGTGTGCATTTGTTATATTGCTGCTGTAGAACTGCGTGAAAAAAAATATTTTTAACTACGTGCAAATGCTGCATTGTATGGAAGCCCGTTTCCGCCACTGAATAAAAAATAAAAAAGGTAATTGCGACTATCTCACAATTCTGACTTTTTTTCTCCGAATTGCGTGATATAAACTCTCAATTCTGAGAAAAAAAGTCAGATTTGTGAGATAAAAAGTCGCAATTACCTTTGTTTTGTAATTTTTTATTCAGTGGCGGAAACGGGCTTCCATAGCATTGCCACGGCCATATAAAATAAAATTAATAAATTTTTTTTTTAAACACCTGTGTGAGGTTGGAAGCTAGCTAGTTGAAAAGTCTGCCTCACATCTAGCTTCAGCAACACCTGCAGTTTTAATTATTTCTTTCATTTTAATTCTCTTTTATTAAAAGACTATCGAAAGTAGTCATTCTTTCCATTGAGAATACACGAAGCCATAAAAAAAAAAACCAAGGACATTGTGGATGAATCTCCTGAAAAAAAGGCCCAACGAATTAAATTTAATTTAATTAATTACAACTAAAATGTGAGGAGAGATTTTTTTTCTTTCTTTCTGTCTTTTTTTCTGTCTTTTTGTGTTTTGGGCCACTGTGCCAAGAGTGTGTTTGCATTAAGTAATTTAGTAAATATGGCAGCGTTTTAGTGCCATAATATTTTTAGAATAAAATTGTTATATTGCGTGCATGAATAAAATTAATTAATGCAAAATTCCATATGTAAATGTTATGTTACGACTGTTATGTCTATTCGCAAACTGTTTTATTGACGAAACACCAATTGATCGATTGCATCAGACATTCGTCTTCTGATTTTTTTTTAAACAAAACTTTTGATATTCATTCATGTTTATTTCATGTTGGAGCTAGAAAAGATGATTGATCCACATGCCGCTTGAACTGAGGCGAATACAGCGATCTCACGCCACATTAAAGAGCGGAAAAACACATTTATTGTTTGTATTTCGTGATCAAATTTACAGCATTTAAAGGCTACGATTTGTGCTATATTAAAATTGTTCATTGAGACTTGAATAGATGAATAGACTTGAAAACGTTAAATATTATTTCCAAGCATACCGTCAATAAAACAGCTTGTGAATAGTCCTGTAATGTTATTTACATCAGAAAAGACAAAAATAAGGAGCTCACGTTAACCTATAACGTTTGGGGGCCCGTATAATAGTGTTGAAGTGGAAATCTGTAGAGACTGTCCCATCTGCTGCATTTAAGCCCAGTCCTGTAACTCGTTTTAGTTAGTAGAGATAAAAATTTGATTTTGGTTTGAACCGAGAACCTACAGTGGGGCAAAAAAGTATTTAGTCAGCCACCAATTGTCTAGTGTTTGTGTTAATTATTCACAGTCCTTCTATGATGCTATATTATTTTACATGTATTTGTCTTTGAGGCTGAGGTTAATAATACATTGTTTTTTTATATTCACTGTCTTTATTTTGCTCTTCTTTCCTGTTTGTGTCCAGGCGGAGTGGGTGGCCTTAAACTACGTGCCATTTGCGGAGCGATCTTTGGAGGTATTGGTCGATCTGTATCATAAAACAGCCTGCCACAAAGCCGTCATCAACGAAAAAGCTCTACAGAACATCATCAAGGTACAAAGCAAAAACCATCGTTTAGATTAATGTTTATAAAACTGACTAATAATATGTAATAATAATAATAATTGGTATGTTGTGAACAGAGCTGTGTAGAAACTGATTACGTGTAATCTGGATTATGTAATCCGATTCCAAAAATTAAGTACTTTTAATTCATTATATTACGTTTTAAAATGCTCATAGTCAGATTAGTGTTACTTTTTTATGGATTGCATTCACACAAAGGCAGTTAATTATTAATTATTTATTGATTCACCCAAGTACTCATTTATTTATTGTTAATTTCCTTTCTAAATGAACCTACCACTTATATACTTAAGACTAATAACTATACAAGTTACTAAACACTGATGCATAGCTGTGAAATACTATGTCTTCATATCCAGTGATGGTCACTATTTATTAATACTGGAAGTCTGGACAAGAATATTTCAAACCTGGAAGACTTTGGTCTTGTTTTCATGTTTATCCATGTTTTAATGTAATGTAGAGATTCCCAAGGTTTTGACGTTTTTATGATTAAATTAATTATTAGCCTTTTTAATGAAATTTTCACGAACCCCAGTTTGGGAGACCAGTGTGTATTGTTTAATGTATTTCTTGATATTGATAACAAAGAATGAAAAACATTTTCATTCTTTCTCTCTCTCTTTTTAATCAACATGGTCCAGTAATCACATTCAAGTCTATGTGATAAACGAGTTAGTAGTCAGATTACATTACCTAATATGCGTAATCCAGATTATGCTACCGTCATGTAATTTGTAATCAGACTACAATCTGTAAGTAATCTGGTTGTGAATTAGTAGTTTCGTGAGACATGATGCATTTCCGGGCATCTTAGTCTCCATAGGTCACCTGCTTTCGGTCGAAGCAGCTGGCTTATCTGTGCAGGAGCTCGTGCGCACCGAGCAGAATCAATCCTCTCCGTTTCTCTGTATTTAGACTCTGAGGATTCCTCTGGGTCTGAAGTACGCCTGTCCTGCAGAGAGCACCTGGAAACTAGCCGTCTCTTCTCTGCTCAAAGTGCTTTCCATTGGACTCCCTGTTGCTCGGCAACAAGCATCCTCAGGCAAATTTGACACAATGTGGCCAGAGCTGGCGAACGCCTTTGAGGACTTCCTGTTTACCAAAAGGTGTGCAACCCATCGTGATATATTAAAACCGTGACGTACGGGTCACTCGTACTCATTTTCCTCTGGTATCCCACAGCACACCTCCAGATAATCGGTCCATACAAGAGTTCCAGAGGAATGAAGCTATAGATGTCGAGGTAATTTCATCTGACAGTAGATCCACAACTCTATTTAAGCTAGAAATATTATTATTACGACTACTATTTATTAGTGGTAGGTCAGTATATCTGTGAGACTGATGTTTGGACACTTTATGATGAGACATTTTGATAATGATACATTAAATAAAAACAATTATGTTTGTATGTGTTATGAATTTATGTGTGTATGTGTATATATACACACATAAAACAATAAAAAACTATAAAAAATATAAATACATAATTTTAGAAAATGAAAACATATTTTGACTATATTGTATTGTAAAAAATATTTATATAATAATAAAGTACTGCTGCTTATTAGTTACTATTAACAGTACATGATATATATATATATATATATGTATATGTGTTACAAATATTATTAATAATATATTGTTATATATTTATATTAAATATATTTTAAATATATATTGTTTGTTTTTTTTTCCTGTAGGTGGTGCAGTTGATCAGCACAGAGATTTTACCATTTGCCAATTTCATACCCAAAGAGTTCGTAGGTCGTATCATGAGCATGCTCAATAAAGGATCGATTCACTCGCAGTCGTCATCGTTCACAGGTATGGAGTACAATGTGAAAACTGTTCTTAAAGCAATAGTTGGAGATTTTGTCATGTACTCGCTCGAAAGATGTTAGGCCAGATGTGCATGCTGCTCTTTTCCATACAAAGACTAACACTGTCGAGTTCATAAAAGCATCATTATAAAGCGGAGAGTTCCGGTGCTTGATTCTGATTGGCTGAGCCGCGTTCGAAGCTGTTGTAAATGACGCTACAAAGTAACACACACCTTTGTTTACGTCTGTGTGTTGCTCGGCGACCACTTTGTAGCAACCACAACTGTTTCTGAGGAGCTACATTGTTTGGTGGAAGAATACTGTGTTTATTAATATCATTACACTTTATTTGCTCTGTTTTATTCTGTGAAGCCTTACTACGTATATGGAATAACCGTTTTATTAAAGCAATAATCCCCGTGAAGCCGTGGTTCACACTAGCGTATGAAGACACTTACTGTGCCTTCTCGTCCCATAGAGGCTGAGATGGACATCCGTATGCGGGAGGAGTTCTCTAAGGTGTGTTTCGAGACGCTCCTGCAGTTCTCCTTCAGTAATAAGGTGTCGACGCCGCAGGAGGGCTACATCTCTCGTATGGCGCTGTCAGTGCTGCTGCAGAGAGCTCAGGACGTGCTCCGACGATTCGTGAATGACGAGAGCACACTAGCGTATGAAGACACTTACTGTGCCTTCTCGTCCCACAGAGGCTGAGATGGACATCCGTATGCGGGAGGAGTTCTCTAAGGTGTGTTTCGAGACGCTCCTGCAGTTCTCCTTCAGTAATAAGGTGTCGACGCCGCAGGAGGGCTACATCTCTCGTATGGCGCTGTCAGTGCTGCTGCAGAGAGCTCAGGACGTGCTCCGACGATTCGTGAATGACGAGAGACTCAGTGGACGCTGCCCTCTGCCCAGGTCTGCGTATAGCAACAGACTCATGTTTTTCAGCTTCCGAAAAAACAAAGACATAAAATAAATTATTTTTGCATTAAATAAATATATATATATTTCTTTTTTTTTTTTTTTTAAGTAAAAACATGTAAAAAGTCAACTTTGCATTAATTTTGTATTAATTATTTTAGTCAATTAGTGCTGTCAAACGATTAATCGTGATTAATCGCATCCAAAATAAAAGTATTTGTTTACATAATATATGTGTGTAATGTGTATATTTATTAAGTATATATATATATATATAAATACAAACACATGCATGCATATATTTAAGAAAAAAACGTTGTTTATATATTAAATATTTATATATAAGAATATAAATATATAAATGCATATACATGTAAAAATGTTCAAAATATATACTGTATGTGTGTGCATTTATATATACATAATAAAAATACACAGTACACACACACATAAATAACAACTTTTATTTTGGATGCGATTAATCACGATTAATCGTTAGACAGCACGAGTATAAATACTTGCATACATTTTGTAATTTAATGCAAGGTTCCCAATATTCATTAGGGCCAGATGACATTGTATGAATAAAACGTGCATTATCTTTTATTACATACTAATTTAAAAAGTGTTTTATATATATATATAAGTTCTAATTTAAAAATGTTAATTTTTGCATTACAATAATGATTTTTTTGTGATAACTTGGAGGAAATGTGGTTATATGGCATGTAAATAATTAATATAAATATAATAAAGTTAATATTTTAATAAAAATTTGATTTCTAACAATAGGCTTCAATTTATTAAGCAAATAAAATTTCTTATATTTTAGGGATGAAAAATGAGCTGGACATATTCACTAAATTCACTGTATTTTCGGTCTGTTTTTAAGTGGACTTTACTGCACAGGACTTGATTCTAAGCGTTTCTCACTATTTATTCTTTATCTTCAAGGCAACAAGTGACTGAGATCATCTTTGTGTTAAAAGCCATCAGCACTCTCATGGATTCCTTGAAAAAGACTCAACCAGAGAACGGTGAGACGGGTTTGTCCTTCAACATTATTTGAAAGCAACCATGACAGACTTCTGCATTTACATGAAATATAAATGTCAAGACTATTCTATTGCCCACCTAGACGGAATTTTTGACCGGTTTTGCATCCTTGTTTATTTCTCTCCTCTTCTGTCCGGGGGTCAGTGGATGGGAACGTGTGGGCTCAGGTGATCGCGCTCTACCCGACGCTAGTGGAGTGCATCACCTGCTCGTCTCCTGAAGTAAGCTCCGCCCTCAAAGATGCCCTGGGGCCCTTTAAAGACTTCATGCAACCGCCTGTCTCCAAAGTGCAGAACGGCGAATCGTGACTGAACGTTTTTATTCCACCGCAAACACGAATGTGACCGTTTCATACGCCGCGCGCGAGGAAGATTCACCCCCATCGTCATGGTAACTGTTGATTGACAGCTCCAATCGCATCATTCGAAGCTTCTTCTAATACGAGCTGACGGTAGACTCTGATTGGCCGACGACTTTAACGATGTATTAACTGCTACGTTAAATTTGCAGTGTTTGTTGTTTTTATGGGTTTTTGGCCCCGCCCCCTGGAGTTAATGTACAGTGTTTGGTGATTAGTGTTAAAGATTTAAATAAGAATGACCTATTTGGATTGAAAATCATTTAATAAGAGAACTACAAATCATAATAAATACATGAAGGGTGGTCTTTTTTTTGTGTGAAATTGTCTCAACAGCAATGGATTTTATGCAAGATCGTGCTGTAACATTCCATGTCATCGTTAGTCGCATTGAGAAGGGTGTGTACAATAATAAATGGTACAGTTCTATGAACATCAAACGTATTCGTGAATCATATTTCACTTCCAGTAGAGCAGGTCAGTGGTTCATGTACGTTCAATTATGACTTTCTAACATTTCCCTCTTTTGAATGAACATGAAGCATTAAATAAGTGTTTAACATACAGTCAGGCAGTAATTATCACAGGATAACTGCAACCTGACAAGATAATCAACATATTAATTGATAGACTACTTATATATATATATATATATATACATGCACACACACACTGCTGGTCAAAAGTTTGGGATGAGTAAGATTTGTTTATGTTTTAAAGAAGTCTCTTCTGCTCATCAAGGCTGCATTTATTTGGCCAAAAAACAGTAATATTGTAAAATATTAGTACCATTTAAAATAATGGTTTTCTATGTGAATGTGTGTTAAACTGTAATGTATTTCTGAGATGCGCGTTACTCATTACTCCAGTCTTCAGTGTCACATGATCTTCAGAAATCAGTATAATATGCTGCTTTATTATCAATGCTGGAAAGAGTTTTGCTGATTCATTTTTTTTTTTTTTTGGAACCTGGGATACTTTTTCAGGATTCTTTGATGAGTAAAGTTAAAAAGAACAGCGTTTATTTAAAATAGAAATCTTTTCTAACAATACAAGTCTCTATTATCACTTTTTATCAATTTAACACATCCTTGCTGAACAAAAGCATTCATTTCTTTCTTTCAAAAAAAAAAAAAAGGAAAAATAAACTTACTGACCTTAAAAAAAGATTTATATTTTGAATAATGATGAATACTTTTTATTCATCAAAGAATCACGGGTTCCAAAAAAAAATATTAGGCAGCAAAACACTAATAAATCAGCATATTATACTGATTTCTGAAGATCATGTGACACTGAAGACTGGAGGAATGATGCTGAAAATACAGCTGCGCGTCACAGAAATACATTACAGTTTAACAGATATTAAAATAGAAAACCGTAATTTTAAATAGTAATAATATTTTACAATATTACTGTTTTTTCTGCATTTCTGATCAAATAAATGCCGGCTCGCTGAGCAGAAGAAACTTCTTCAAAAGACATTACAAATCTTACCGCTCCCAAACGTTTGACCAGCAGTGTGTATTATAGAAATGCATGATCCGTTATCAAATTAATTCACTTGGATTGGTTTTACAGCAGAATGCAGTTGCGGTCCCATTCTTTTCATTTCTACTGCTAAGCCAGTGCTTTGATGTTTTTGGGATGCAGCCATTTCGCCTGGAACACTGTATTGGCCAATCAGCATCCAGGACGAGAACTATCCGTTTTATGTAGTATTTGTATTGAATTGTGTTTTTATTATCAACATTAAGCTCGTATAAAACACCTAACTTGCCAACTTGATGTACTATCTAAGACCGCGAAGCCTCTCGGGGATTCTGTTCTTATTGTAGGTCTCTACGGTAAGTGAGCGGCGATCAGTGTTGCCAACTCATTTTCAGGGGAAGTTGCTAAAGGAAGGTCGATTTGTTGCTAAATGGTGTTGTGACGTCATTACGTAATCACGATGCAAAATTGTCAAATCTTAGCAAAAACGTATATATATATTTTGTTAATTTAGATGTGTTCGTAGCAATATAAATGCATAATATAATATTAAAACATAACTATTTTTAAATCCATTGAATTATCGAAAACGTACACATTTTTGAACGATTACAATTTAAGTTTTATACTTTAACGCAGTTTATTAGTAGTTAGTTGGTGTGCTGCACGCTTAAGAAAAGTACAAAAATAACACAGTCTGCTGTGCTAATGTGAAGGAGTTTTCTGGATTGATTTTTCCACAGGTTTTTGTACCTGCATCTTTAATTACGCATTGTGTTTTGTGTTTTCGGGTTATAACGGATAATGTCCTGGAAAGTTACTAGGTTTTTGCACCTGCATCTTTAATTACGCATTGTGTTTTGTGTTTTCGGGTTATAACGGATAATGTCCTGTTAAGTTACTAGCACCTTTTCCATTTTTCTGCATATTTTTTTCTTACAGCGTACGAACTCGTCAACAATCGCAGGTACAAGCTACTAACAAAGTGTCTCATAAATGAAAATTAACAGAATTCAATTATTATTACTATTAAACGATTGCAAATAGCAGCTAACTTAATTCCTGTAACGCGTGTACTGCTCGGCATCTTTGGTTTCCTCTTTTTGTGTAGTTTAAATTGTGCCTTTTTATCGTTTGAGTCGCTTATCAAAAGTAGCCCAATAATTTTTTTAAAACAGCTAAATTTGTTGCTAGGTGCTTTTGGAAGAAGTTGCTAGGGTAGTCTGAAAAGTTGCTACATTTAGCAACCAAATTGCTAAGTTGGCAACACTGAAATCAACTCATTCAAAAAAAAGCTGTGAGCTCAGTACGGCGCCATTGGCTGAATCCCGCGGGAGGCGTGGCCTCACTCGGGGGTGTGTGTGTGTGTGTCGTGGGCGGTGTCCCTCTGGCACCCCATTGGCTGCGCTCCCAGCCAATGGCGGAGCAGCTGAAGGGAGTGTAGCCCGCTCACGAGTACTACGACCATTCACCTCGGACTCTTCGTTCGGCGCAGATTCTTGGAATGCGGTTCCCACGGGCTCCGAGAGCCATTCCGCCGCGCACTGGCTGAGGTAGTAGTTTGTGCTGTTGTTGGGATGTGATATTGCCCGTTCTGGAGATGACTGCGCAAGCTACTCCCTTGCCAGTGCTGGTCACACTCGTCCCAAGCTGGAATGCGCTTTGGAATCCAAATCCTCCGAGGAAATATGATGCTTTTATGTCATATTGATGTGTGGTATAGTTCTAGTTGTGCATGTTAAAATGGTTCTGGGAGTTGTAAATGTGTGCGCAATGCTAAGTCAATAAATGTGTATACTGTGGAACACAACTGCTTTATTCATGATGTGTTTTTAATGATCTGTTCTTTCTAGCACGCTGGGTTGTAAATGCATGGGGTTGGCCATATGCCCCAGTTTTCTTCTTTCTTCAGTAAAGAACTGTTGTTGTTGTTTGTGTGGAGCACAGCAGAAAAGCAGGTATTGCCCTCGGGAACACGACGGGTAGGGTTATTCATTTGAATAGACGCTTGGTGTTGCCCTTGGGGTGGCTAACACATGTAGGTCACACGCTACTGTTGCTATGAAGAGAGCTGTGACGTGGCTTTCTCTGCCCACTACGGTAGCGTCATCGATCGTGACGTCACGCGGGCTGGTTTGGACTCGACCGGCGCACGTGCGTGGAAAATTAATATTGCATGTAGCTAGATTAATGGTTGTAGAAAAGGTGCAGCTAATGTGGGATTCATAAAGCCTCGTTTAACCCTGAAGACCTCCATTAAACCAAGTCTGTAACGTAGAAATAGGAGTATGTGGGGGTATCGAACACGCGTCTTCTGGTGGTTAATCCAGCCATTTGTCAAATAGTTGAACTTCAGCACACGCCAACAACATGAGACTAAGACTGGGTGCACTTACTTCTGCTCCCAGCACGGTTTCATTCACAGAGGACGTTATGAAGTGGTATATCTTAAGCTTAAAGGGTAAATTCAATCCACAAATTAAAACCATTCACTTACCTAACCTCCGTTCCAAACCTGTATGAGTTTCTTTCTTCAACTAGACGTTTCTCGGTTCCAGCCAATCAAATATGACAACCTTTTTTTTCTTACAGCGTACGAACTCGTCAACAATCGCAGGTACAAGCTACTAACAAAGTGTCTCATAAATGAAAATTAACAGAATTCAATTATTATTACTATTAAACGATTGCAAATAGCAGCTAACTTAATTCCTGTAACGCGTGTACTGCTCGGCATCTTCGGTTTCCTCTTTTTGTGTAGTTTAAATTGTGCCTTTTTATCGTTTGAGTCGCTTATTTAAATTTTTTTAAAACAGCTAAATTTGTTGCTAGGTGCTTTTGGAAGAAGTTGCTAGGGTAGTCTGAAAAGTTGCTACATTTAGCAACCAAATTGCTAAGTTGGCAACACTGAAATCAACTCATTCAAAAAAAAGCTGTGAGCTCAGTACGGCGCCATTGGCTGAATCCCGCGGGAGGCGTGGCCTCACTCGGGGGTGTGTGTGTGTGTGTCGTGGGCGGTGTCCCTCTGGCACCCCATTGGCTGCGCTCCCAGCCAATGGCGGAGCAGCTGAAGGGAGTGTAGCCCGCTCACGAGTACTACGACCATTCACCTCGGACTCTTCGTTCGGCGCAGATTCTTGGAATGCGGTTCCCACGGGCTCCGAGAGCCATTCCGCCGCGCACTGGCTGAGGTAGTAGTTTGTGCTGTTGTTGGGATGTGATATTGCCCGTTCTGGAGATGACTGCGCAAGCTACTCCCTTGCCAGTGCTGGTCACACTCGTCCCAAGCTGGAATGCGCTTTGGAATCCAAATCCTCCGAGGAAATATGATGCTTTTATGTCATATTGATGTGTGGTATAGTTCTAGTTGTGCATGTTAAAATGGTTCTGGGAGTTGTAAATGTGTGCGCAATGCTAAGTCAATAAATGTGTATACTGTGGAACACAACTGCTTTACGCCGTGTCCCTCTGGCACCCCATTGGCTGCGCTCCCAGCCAATGGCGGAGCAGCTGAAGGGAGTGTAGCCCGCTCACGAGTACTACGACCATTCACCTCGGACTCTTCGTTCGGCGCAGATTCTTGGAATGCGGTTCCCACGGATGCGGATTCGCTGCGTTCCCACGGGCTCCGAGAGCCATTCCGCCGCGCACTGGCTGAGGTAGTAGTTTGTGCTGTTGTTGGGATGTGATATTGCCCGTTCTGGAGATGACTGCGCAAGCTACTCCCTTGCCAGTGCTGGTCACACTCGTCCCAAGCTGGAATGCGCTTTGGAATCCAAATCCTCCGAGGAAATATGATGCTTTTATGTCATATTGATGTGTGGTATAGTTCTAGTTGTGCATGTTAAAATGGTTCTGGGAGTTGTAAATGTGTGCGCAATGCTAAGTCAATAAATGTGTATACTGTGGAACACAACTGCTTTATTCATGATGTGTTTTTAATGATCTG